AAAAAAAAAAAAAAAAAAAAAAGAGCTGAAGAAAATGATGTTGGTGCTGTAGCTCAGTGCAAAGACCCTTGGTTCAATCCCCAGTACCACAAAAGGAAGAAAAGAGCCACCATAGTGGGTATGCACTAAACCTCATTTCATATGGACACCGCCCTGGTCTGTGTCCTCGCACTGCTACTGAGTCGGAATGACAGGGGCTGGTGGACTGTGACCAGGTGGGCTGCCTCTGCCCAGAGCTCTGGCCCTTTACAGGAATTCAGGAAGCTGTGCACACCCCAAGCCCATGCCCCACATCCGTGCCTCCCACACTGGCATCCTCAGTGGTGCCCTAGAGTGGCCATAACTGGGTGTTGGCAGCCTAACCCCACTCCCAGGCAGGGACAGATGCTGGGCCACTTCCTGGCTCTCAGAGAGCTCCCATTCAGCCCTGTGGTCCCTCTGACTTTCGCGCCCCCCGAGGAGGCCAGGGGTGAGAATTTCCCATTTGTCCCGAGACTCCAGCCCTGTCCACTGCCCCGGGTGACTTTGCAGTTGTCCCACTGCCAGGCGTCCCTGGTGTCCCTCCCGTGGAAGAGGTTTTGCTGTTCATTACATAGATCCAGAATATCCGGGTTGCTAGCAGTAGAAGGAGGATGGGGGATCCGCTTGCCTCGAGCCCCTGCTGAGTTCTGTGCTTTTCCCTGCAGAGAGAAGACACGGTTCTGTGTGCAGACCTTCTCCCTCGCCAGCGTCCCCGGCCTCCCACCCCAGGACATCGCTAGCACAGGTGAAGATGAAAGCCTGTGGGAGCGGCCATAGCTCTGCCAGCAGCACCTCAAAGCCATTCAAAACGCCCAAAGACAATCTCCTTACCTCCAGCAGCAAGCAGCACACAGTCTTTCCCGCTAAGGGATCGCGGGATAAACCATGGTGAGTGTCTGTCCTCTGTGCCTGTCCCCGTCCCAGGACCCTAAAGTGCTGATGCCAGGCAGGGGAGATTTCTGTTCTTGAGAGTGGAGCCAAGTTATGTCTAAGAAAAGGGAAGTAGGGACCCTTCCTCAGTGACAGGGTCACTTAGCGGAGAGAAGCGCTGGTTTGAATGATCAAAGCACACACAGGATGGGCAGAAAGGGGCCCAGCTGCAGCCGCAGGCCACGGGGTTCTCAAAGGCTGTGGGCAGCCGGGCGCGGGCCCCCGAGACTGGCTCAGTACTGTGCCACATGCCTTCGCCTTCAGGCCCAGAGAAGGTGGAGCAGGGACAGTGTGGGGCCCCCCTCGTGTACGTGTTTATATGGTAAGCAGTGCTCCATGCGTTGGTGGTACCTAATTACACTGAGCTCCATACCTGGGGAAGCTGTGTAGGGAATGGTCCCTCAGGGTTTGTCTCTGTACGCCGAAAATCACGATGGCTTCATAGAAGAGCTCATTGTGCCAGGTCGATGAAGGGGCCTTTTGGGACAGCGTGGAGAGGGGACATGGCCATCGGGCAGGGGTCTCTGTCTTCAGGGGCCCTGGGCACGGGCTTTGTTCTCCACAGGTGTGGGTCTAGGATGTAGCTGCTGGAGAAGGCCAGGCCCAAGAGTGACACTCAGAGTTTGACCTCTGCCGGCCGTGGCAGTGTGAGTCTCCCAGGCCTGCCCCCGCAGCCTGGGACAGCTGACAGTGGGCTGGGGCCGTGTGTGTTCTGCTGTGAGCTCTGGGCTCGCTGCCCCGCAACAACCTCCGCAGGGTGGCCCTGGGCCAGTCACTTCCTCTTGTTGTGTCTCGGTTTCCTGGCTTGTAAAGTGGGCGGCTCTGAGCTCTACCCCATGGGACGGTGACCAAGAAGGCGGCGGCACGGCCCCTGGATCGCAATACTTACGGGTCCTGCTGTTATTGTCACTGTTGTGAGATGAATGCTGAGAAGTCCGGCCTGCCTAGAAAATTTGGGAAGTGGCTCTTCAGACTCAGAGTGAAGAGGAAAATGGAAAATAATAAAATAATGTATTAATAGCTGGGGATGTAGCTTACTGATAGGGCGCTCGCCTAGCGTGTGTGAGGCCCTGAGTTCAGTTCCCAGAACCACCAACAACAAACAAGCGTGCAGAAATGAAGCACAAGAAATGACCTGAGGACAGCCGGGTGAGGGCGGCCCACACATGGCCACAAGGTGAACCCTCCATGTGAAAGCAGCGAGGGGTCTCCTGTGGCTCACGGCACCCGGCCGTGTTCTCCAGGAAATGAACAACCTCCAGGAACCCTGGGGTTTGGGCAGCGCCCAGATTTGGCACAAGAAAGAGGTGTGAAGGAGCCGAGGAGGCCAGCAGGTCCAAGCTGAGCAGCCAGGAGGATTGCGAGGTGGAAGTGGGCCCTTAGGGAAACGAAGGCCTTGGAAACTAGAGGGAAGGAAGGAGGATGTTCGAATCCAGGCTCTCCCACGGATCTGTGCAAGTTTGAACAGGACACTTACCATCAAGTCCCAATTCCAAGGCTCCCCGTTTTGTGGCCCTGTATCACAATCCTCCCAAACATCTCCATGCCCGTGCCTCGGCCCAACATAAGGGACCCTCTGCAAGTTAGCCTAAAACCCAGCTCGGTTCCGTCACCCGGCACCGGTGCACCACACCAGTGTGTTTCCCCGGGATCTGGGCCTGCACCGTCCATCTCTCCTTTGCACGGTCATCTGTCAGAGACTGAACCTGAGACTTTTGCACTGAGCCACATCCCCAAACCCTTTTCTATTCTTTATTTTGAGACAGCGTCTCTCTTAAATGGTCCAGGCTGGACTCAAACTCAAAATCCTCCCATTCCAGCCTCCCAGAGTGCTGTTTGCAGATGTACACCACCCACCATGCCCAGCTCTAACGTAACCTTTAGTGAGAATCCACTGTAGTACTAGCTGCTATCCTCATAAAAAGCACTGTGACACACAGGACTCACTGATGTACACATTAGAAAAGACTTAAATGCAGCCCGGTTCCAGGTGCAAAGCTGACCAATGGTCTCCATCCCAGCCAGTCACCCTAGTACAGTGCAGAGCCTGAGCAACCGTATGCTGCAGCCTTGAGGGTACAGAGTTAAATAAGACGTACACACAGCGTCTTAGGGAGTCCTGCCCCACACCAGTGTGTTTCCCCGGGATCTGGGCCTGCACCGTCCATCTCTCCTTTGCACGGTCATCTGTCAGAGACTGAACCTGAGACCTTTGCACTGAGCCACATCCCCAAACCCTTTTCTATTTTTTATTTTGAGACAGCGTCTCTCTTAAATGGTCCAGGCTGGACTCAAACTCAAAATCCTCCCATTCCAGCCTCCCAGAGTGCTGTTTGCAGATGTACACATCTGGGCCTGCACCGTCCATCTCTCCTTTGCACGGTCATCTGTCAGAGACTGAACCTGAGACCTTTGCACTGAGCCACATCCCCAAACCCTTTTCTATTTTTTATTTTGAGACAGCGTCTCTCTTAAATGGTCCAGGCTGGACTCAAACTCAAAATCCTCCCATTCCAGCCTCCCAGAGTGCTGTTTGCAGATGTACACCACCCACCATGCCCAGCTCTAACGTAACCTTTAGTGAGAATCCACTGTAGTACTAGCTGCTATCCTCATAAAAAGCACTGTGACACACAGGACTCACTGATGTACACATTAGAAAAGACTTAAATGCAGCCCGGTTCCAGGTGCAAAGCTGACCAATGGTCTCCATCCCAGCCAGTCACCCCAGTACAGTGCAGAGCCTGAACAGCTGTATGCTGCAGCCTTGAGGATACAGAGTTAAATAAGACGTACACACAGTGTCTTAGGAAGTCTGTAAGAAGAGACATACACTGACGCAGTGCTGTAACAGGAGAAGGGCATCCAGCCCAGCTTGAGGGTTCAGACAGGCCTTGTCTGAAGAGCCCACGGTTCAGAGAAATTTGAAGCACCAGAGTTCAAAGGTCAGTTTGCGGGCTGAGCGCCTGCATCCCGTACGTGCAGCCCTGGGTCCAGCCCAGCACTGCCCGACACAAACCCAAACCCACTGGATGCGCCTCACTTCTGCACCCAGCAGTCCAAGCATCTTCCATCACCCTCAGCGATCTCTGTATCCAGGGGCCATGGATTTAGCTCAGTGGCACCCGCCTTCCTCGTAAGCACAAGGTCGTGAGTTCAATTCCCAATACCAAAAAAAAAGAGAGATCTCTATAGTCTATAGCTGGACGGAAGTAATGAGATCCTCATGGGACGTTGGATGTTACCTTTTTTTTCGTGGTACTGGGAAGACTGAACCCAGGGCCTTCACACTGAGCTCCCTGAGCCATTTTTGTTGTTGTTGTTGTTGTTCTTAATTTTGAGATAGGGTCTTATGAAGCCGCTAAGTTGCCCACACTGGGTTCTAACTTGAGATCCTCCTGCCTCAGCCTTCCCCGAGTGCTAGATTACAGATGTGTGCCACCATTCCCAGACCGGTGAACCTTTGTTCTAGAAGTAAAGATTAGCACTGTAAAATGGGAATATAATGTATGCCACACATGAAATTTTAACTTTCCAGCATCCAGTTTGAAAAAAGTGAAAAGAAACATGAAATTAACTTTAACAATACATTTTCTTTAATATATCCAGAATGTCAGCATTTCAACATATAATCAGTGAAATAGCTTACATTCTGTTTTTCCCCCAGATTGTCTTTTAACCCTGTGTGCATTTCACCCTTACGGCACATCTCAATTTGGAAATGTCTTACTCCTTAGAGTTCCTAAAAATGCAAAATAGATTCACACACTGAAATTGTCCCAAGCATCCTTAAACATTTTCTAATAACTGAATCAGGTACCTGTTTTTAATTTTTAATGCATTAAAATTAAATTATTTAATTATTTAAATGCGTGATGGCTCAGTTTGAGAGGCTGAGGCTGGAAGACTGCTGCAGATTCAAGGCCAGCCTGGACTGCTCCCTGTCTCAAAAGTAAATTATTTAATTGAATCAAATGCAGTGTAGAGTTTCATTCCTCACTCAGACACCTTGGCCACATGGGAGGAGCTGAGTGAACCTCTGACCACACAGGCCCTGGCGTGTTTCTGGGTGACCCCATGGGTCCCAGTTCCCAGACTCAGAGCTGTGATCAGCAGGCCCCTTGCTCCCACAGGGTGGAAGAGACCCTTGATTCTCACTCCATTGGCCTGGTTGCTGCTGGGCCCAAGATGGAAACAGACCTGGCAGATCCTAGCTGGCCTCTCTCCCTGTGGCTCCAAACAGCCCTGCTCAACCTTCAGTGGCTGGAAAGCTGCACTCGAGGTCCAGGACCTTTGCACATGTTGTGGGGGTGCTCTTCCGCACCCACAGCCTTGGCTTCTGAGGTCAGGAATTTCTGCCCTTTGACTTAAGTAGTCTGTGGTTTTCTTATTTTCTCCCTTATGCCCTCCAAGCAGGTTAAAAATAACTTCCTGAAAAGAAAGAGGATTCATCCCTGCAGAGTACCGACCACACCCACAGGTTCCTCAGCCTCCCCTGCTTAGATCACCAGGCCCAGTTCCTGGGGAGGCTGAAGCAGGAGGATAGTTTGAACCCCAGGAATTGCAAGCCAGCTTGGGCAACATAGCAAGATGGTATCTCAAAAATAAAAAGTGTTAGGTGAGGTTACGGCTGCTTGACTCTTTCGAGTGAGAATGAGCACTTCAACCTTTACTTGACAAGCCTGTTCAGCCAGGGACCAGGCACAGTGGCCGAGTCAACCAGCCTTGCTTTCCCAGTGTGCAGCATGCGGGGCTCCTCCGCTTGGGTGAGGGCAGAGAGGAGGCAGAGGAGGCATACTCCCCCAGACGGCTTGTTGCCTTCTCTTTGGGCCTTATCAGCCCACACGTGTGTGTTGAATGCTAAATATGCTGTGCTATTAAAAATGCAGGAGATGAGCCTGGTGCCCCAGAAGGGGTGCGGTCCTCCCGGGATGAGGGCCACTGCCAGGGGTCCTTCA